CTTTTGACAAAAGGATGAAGTCTCTATCTGTCAGGGAAGCCGAGATATTGCAAAATAAAAAAGGTCTTCAACTTTTGAACAGCACTTTTTATATAAAAATTAACCCGGTCCTGAAAGGGTTAAATTACTAGAAAATGTTGTTTTTGTAGTTTAAATTCACATAGGTATGTCATTTCTTTGTATTTTATATTTTATAGGCGGAGGTGATGGTGGTGGCCGAGGCGGACGAGGAGGAGGTAAGGAAAAGATCGTTTTTCGAATTTGTCTCTTTATGCTTTCGAAAGAACAAATATATAAAGATTCTCAAGAAAATGGAGATATTTTAGTTTACATACGTTGTTTTGTTTTTTGTAGGAACACGTGGCGGTGGAGTCTATGGTCGAGGCGGTGGCGGCGGTAGAGGAGGTTAGCACCAACGAATGAGCGCTTTTGAATGATATTCATCACTTTATTGTTACTTTACAGGAGGACGAGGCAGAGGCGGCGGTAAGTTGTTTCGGAAACGATGATTATATTGAATTTGTAGATCATCAAGTGACAAATGCCAAAGCAACTTAAAAATTTGAGCTGCACAACTGTGTTTCGAGTCATTCTCAAATGTTTCCACCCTAAAATCTGGAAAACTTGCGTGTTTTTCGACGAGTCGAGATCCTTCGTTGCAGAAGTCGGAATACCTTTGGTTTGGGTATTCGGAGAAGACTCTAAACGATAAAAATTTGTACCTAATTATACTGTTTCATTTTATACATTTCTGTAGCGTTGTAAGATGTTCCTTTAGCTAAGAAAAGATTCAAGGACGAAGAGTTAGTTGTAGAAATATAACTGGAGAATAAGATGCATCTTTTTTGATCGGCTATCGGTAGAACTGCATCATTATAAAGTTTCTTGCTCGCGCATATGGATGGATGATTGGAGAAATAAATTTAGTTTTGCAGCTTGATTCTATTTTATCGGAATCTATCAAATTTTTAAGTTGAATGAATAGGAGTTTTGAATTTTTCCATCGAAGATTCACAGAATTTCATAACAAAAGCTTTTTCTGTTTGAGCTGAATCGTTCATATAAGTCAGAGTAAAGGGGTGGACACATTAGAAGACCCAGGGTCTTCTAATGTGTCCTATCATTCACAAATTTTAGGGAGGGTCTTCTATTGTGTCCCTTAGAAAAGTCATATTTTTCGATACCCCCGCAGTAAAACACACAGTTGAAAACTGCAGTATTTTTCTTTACACAATACAGTAAATTACACACAAAAGGCTGTTAATTTCACTCTTGTTCGACAACAAAAAAAGAAAAAATACATTTACTTATTTTTCCACACATCTTTTAAAAGCAACGGTTTATTTTGATTTTTGATTACAACTCTAGTGAACTTCTTGTAACCAAGACCTTGACTTCTTGAAGTTTTTCAGTAGGATCTTGATTAAGAAAATATAGAAATTCAAGGAATTTCAAGTAGTTAAGATCTTGAACATCTTGTAATCTCTTGACTTCTTGTACCAATACCTTGAAAATTCTTGAATCATCGTTTTGTTTTTACACTCTTGTATAAATATGACTGCGGATATTTTAACAGTTAGAATAACTGCGAATTTTTTTCCTTCTTGAACATAGTTATTTAAGGAAGAATGTATGACTCTGTATGGTCATACATGTACAAAATATGCTGAGAGGTTACACAGGCTTTTAATAATGTATTTTGTTTACTTTTTTATATTTTTAAATTTTTAGTTTTAGGTTATCACAGGGTATCCACGGATGCCACAAGTCTCTTGTTCTTTTTTG